GCCGTGGTGGCCCCAAGGAACTCGCCACAGCTTTTCCCGACACCGGTGCATCCGGCACACCGGGAGCGCCAGGCAGAGGGCCAAGGGCAGGCGGCGCCCCAGGTCCGCGGGGCCAGGCAGTGAGCTCCTGAGCCCGCCTAAGTAAGTCTTTGGAGAAATAAAGACACCGTGTCTATTTGAATCCAAATTCAATCACACTCTCTGCAGCTTGGTTCCAGGTTCCGGACTATGACACAGCACAAACACAAACACTACGAAAACAGTGGTAGAGGCAGGTGTGGTGGTGCACCCCTGTAATCTCAGCACTCAGGAGGCTGAGGCAGGAGGACTGCTGTGAGTTGGAGGCCAGCCTGGGATGCATAAGGAGTTCAAGTCCAGGCTGAACTACACGGGAAGACCCAATCTTAAAAAACAAAACAAAAAACCAACAGCGATTGATGTGGTAGGTAAGAGGTATAATCGTACTTGGTACACAATTTTTTTAAGTCAGGTCATCCTTTATTTTTTACTGTATCATTTTGCATCCTCACTAGTTAATTCAACAGTTTTCCTGGGCACCTTCTATTAACCAGCAGTTACATAGAAGCCAGCAGATCAAAGCCCTGAGTTCACAGAGCTGACATTCTAGTGCAGCAGAACCAATCAGCCTCCCTGCAGATAAATGCGTCCTGGAAACCAAGCAGGGTACAGGAAAGGAGGGCGGATGATTTTAAACCTGAATCCAAAGGTGATTTCTTAAATCAAAGGAGAAGAGCTGGGTGGAGCCTCTCCTGCCCAGGCCACTGGCTCGGAGTGAAATCCTCTGAAAACACCTTCCTAATTGTGTGGTCCACTGACTGGGGCGGCTGCCGGGGGCCCGGCCGGGCCCAAGGGAGGCAGGACTGATGGAGCAGGCGTTTCACAGGTAAAGACAACAGTGTCCCCTGAGGAGTGGGCGCCAGATGTGAAGGCCACAGCCGGTCCTGACTGATGGGCAGCAGGCCTGCGACCCTGGATGGTGCGAGGGAGGAAGAAGAGACCGGGGCCGCGGTGCCAGGAGCCGTGCAGAACACAGCAGAGACTCCGGAGGCCTTAACCTGGGTGTCTCTAGATGACAACTCCTCCTTCCCACTTTCTGCTCGCTCAGCCAATGACACGAACCTACGAAAGTCCTCAGCTGCCTTCTCAGCTTTCTGAAATCCTATTTGGGGGATTTGGTGCAAGGTAAACCACATTCAAATCCTTGCCTCATTGAGCAGTTAAGACCGTGAAATAAGCGAATGATGGCTCCCCAGGAGGCGGCGTGTGGCTGAGCAAATGGGCTGCGGCGGGCAGCCCTCTCCCTCCACTCCACCTCCGGCGAAGCCCTCGAGGGCGCAGGCTCTGCGCGGCGATCACGGCTCCCCTGGGGCCTCACAGGCTCCACCCGGAGGACACAGTCCCCCTGCAAACCCGCACACCCGACAGTGACCCAGAGCCAGGGTCTCCCGTGGTTTCCTTTTCCAGTTTACCACTCCGAGAGACGGAGGGGAAAAATCACTTAAACTGGCGCCTCCAACTCCCTACCAGGCGTCAGGGTGAGGCTCAGCACAAGGGTGCCCGGGGCAGGGGCGGAGGCCAGCAAGGCCTTCAACTTGACTGGGAGGTAAACTCTGTTCCCATCCGTTCTTCCAGGCCAGACCGCCCACCAGAAAGAAACCAGTCACACCCCAGCCTCCCAGGAACAATGGCCCGGGATAAGCACTGTTTTTATCCTGAGGCCTTGCTTAACCCGAGGGCCAGGATCCTGGGTTTGATAAGATCAAACTTTCCAGGAGGCCGAGGGTGGAAGAAGGGGCGCCCATCCACCGTGGCTGGAGCTGGGCTGGGGCCCCGAAAGGTCTGGCCCCGAGCGGTCCAGAGAAGCCCAAAAGGCCACTGGATGAGAGCTGAGGTCGGAGCCAGGCCACCTGGAGCCAGCTCCCTACCCGCTTGAGCTCCCTCCTCCCCGTCACCGGCACCGCCACACCCCTCTCCCAGGGTGGCAGCCCCGGGCCCTCAGGCTCCGGGCCTGGGCAGCGCCGGCAGGTGACCGCTTCCTCCGGCCCAGCCGCTCCCGCGCTGGCTCCAGCACAAGTCTCACCTCCTCTGGGTTCGGCTCCAGCTTCTCCTTCTCCACCTTCACCATGCTGGGGTGGGTGGCGCAGGGCTCGGGGGCGGCCCCCTCAGAGTTGCTCTCCACCGCAGCTCCCACCTCGCCCTCGGGCTGGGGGCTCTCCAGGCCACCTTGGGGTACCAGGCCCATTCCCACCTGAGGTCCGGCGTACGCCACCCCTCCGCAGAACTCGTAGGGCTGGGGGCACGGCGGGACGCCCCACACCTCCACGGCTCCGGCCCTCCTGGCCCCTCACCACCCCCACCCGGCGGGGGCGAGAAGGCAAACTCCGAAGCCAGGTGTCCGGCCATGGGGAAGAGGGCGCCCCGAGCCGGAGCCCTGAAGAAATGAGGCCTCGGCAGGGGCTGCCGCGCATCTCTCTCCTCCCCAATCCCACCCACTGGCCTTGACCTCTGGCTCCGCCCTGGTGGGTGGAGGAGGGGTGGGTGGGAGAAACTGAGGGAAGGGAGTTTGCCTGCAGCCGGTGCTGGGTCCCTAGACACCCAGCTGGGCCCCCTTTCGACCCCCTGGGGTGCGGGGCCGAGGAGCTGAGAGCTGACGGGGGGACCTGGTCACCTCCGCGCCCTTCAGGAGCCAGTACCTGTGTCTCCACAGACCTGGGGCACTGTCCCCCTGGGGCCCACCAGCCACCATGTGCCGCAGACGCCCGACCGGCTGGGCTGTCCCTGTGCCTCCCACCCCATCCGGGACCGGATTCCCAACTGGATGTGGCACTGCCATCGAGCCCCTCTGCCCAGCCTGGTTCTGCCCATGTCCAGGGGCAGACTGCCCAGCCCGGCCACCATGCTACGCTGTCCTCTCTGCTCCAGTCTCCTCCCCTACACGGATCAGCGGCTGACACCCCACACACAAACCCCCTTGAGGTTCATGGGTGAGCCAGCCTGAGTTTTTCCAGACAGAGTGCAGACGGGAGGAACACCGGCCCGGGCCTCCCCAGCCCGCGGGCATCTAACCCCACAGCAGGCCCGGGCTGCCCTCCCCCAACTCCCATCCCGGGCCTCCAGCCTCGGTTCCTGGGTGGAGAAAAAATATCTGACTTAGGTTCAAAGAGGCCTGGGAGGGACGGGGGAAGGGGCCGGACAATGGCCCTGGCTGGACAATCCTGGTCCCCAGAGGGGGAGCCTCCAACCCTAAACAAGTGCTCAACCCTTGAATGGGCCTGGATGGCTCCCCTGGGGACAACTTCCTGCCCCCACCCCCGGCCCCTCACACGGAGCTCCCCTCGGGATCTCCCGCGACACCCCCATCCCCGAGAGCCTCGACGGGGC